TGTCGCCGGAAGAAACTTCAAATACAGAGAATGCTGTGCCTGTGTTGGAAATTGTGTCTGATGGGGAGCTTTCTTTGGTTGAGCCTCCTGCTCCAAGTTCTAGTGCATTAGCATTAGCACTAGCTCCGCAGCCTCCTCCAGAGCCTCTAACGTTAGCTGCTGCTGGCTCAACTGCCACCACCAACACCGGGCAAAGCGATGCACCTGACTGCTGGACAACGGACCAGGTGCAATATTTTTGCAAGACCAATGCATGGCTCCTTCTTAAAGATAATAAGCTAGGATGTCGGATATGCAGAGATGTCAAATCTTTGGGAATACACACTGGACAAGGACTGAAACTGTCAACTGAATGGGGTGAGTGTGCAGTGTCTCATTTCGGTGTTGACAAGGGCAAACAACAAGCTAGCCTGAGAAAAAAAATCAAAGAACATAAAGAATCACAAGCCCATGTAAAAGCTGCTGACATCCTTACATCTGCTTTACGTGAAACTATTCAACATCAAGTGCAGTCTATGCATAAATCTGAATTAGACACCACTATCAGAGTTTTTCGAACGGCATATAAAATTGGCAAACATAGCCGGCCATTCACAGACATGCCAATTGATTTGAATGTACAGAAACTGAATGGGCTGAACGTGGGCAGGGTTTTGCACTCCAATAAAACCTGTGGCGAAATCATCGACCACATGGCTCATGAGCTGAAGAAAAAAATGGCAAAAGACATTACAGAAAACCAAAGAAAACTCTGTGTTTTGGTCGATGAATCTACCACTATTAGTGGTAAAACGGTGCTTGTTGTGTGTCTACGCTCAGCATTAGCTGATGCTGAGCCCGAAACGTTTTTTTGGGAGCTGATCGACTTGGATGGAACAACGGCTGATGACATCACAAAGGCGTTAATGGAGTGTCTTGGAAGAGATTTTAACGAGGACTTTTTAGGTCAGTGTTTCGTTTCTTTTGCATGTGATGGGGCTTCAGTCATGCTAGGGAAGAGAACAGGCGTTGCTACCCAGTTGTGTAGTAAATTCCCAAGCCTGTTTGTGTGGCACTGCTCCAATCATCGTCTAGAGCTGGCAGTTGGGGATGTGGTCAAGGAGGTCTCAGGGCTCAATAATTTCCAGATCTTTTTTGACAAACTCTATTCCTTGTTCCATGCCTCCCCCAAAAATCAGAGGCAGTTAGCGCAGTGTGCGCAAGCAGTCGGACAGCGTCTCCTGGTGATAGGGCGTGTTTTGTCCATCCGCTGGGTGGCTTCAAGTGAAAGGAGCGTCAGAGCAGTCTGGGAAAACTACCGAGTGCTTCATGATCACTTCACAAATGCTGCAAACGACACGAGCAGGGATTCCAGAGACAGAGCAAGGGCCTGGATGATGTGCTCACATCTGCAACGTTTGTCAGCAATCTGGGACTGATGTACGATGCGCTCACAGAGCTCAGCGACCTCTCTCGGCAACTCCAAAAAAGAGAGATGACACTGCCTACAGCAGATAGGCTCTTTACTCGAGAAATACGAGTTTTTGAATCCATGGTCACCATGCCTGGCCCACACATGACTACAGTTCATACAGCTCTAGCTGAGAAGTCCTTCAAGGATGTTGCCCTGCGTGAGAATGGCAGGCTTGTACAGATTCATGCAGGTCAGTTTTTCCGCAGTATGGTAGAGAATCTGAGACACAGAATGACTTCCACAACCTCCTCTCATGTCAGCACAAGAGAAATCCCATTACATGGCCGGGAGGCCCGGGACAATCAGCTAATCCAGGACATGAAAGTTATCCATCCTGGAAGTTGGCCTGAAGAGGAGTTAGACGTACAGTATGCGGACGTAGAGGTGCTACGTTTGTGCGAAGTGCTGAAAGTGGACAGAAGAGAGACTGTTCAGGGCTTTCGCGAATACAAGGAAACCAGGGCATCCCGTACACCTGCTGCCATGGAGCCTCTACTGAAAGCAGTCCGAACCATCGCTGTCTCCACTAGTGAGTGTGAGCGGGCATTCAGCTGCATGAACGATATCCTTACTGCAAAAAGGAATGCTCTCTCTGTCAGCCGACTGTCCAGCCTGGTTTTCATTAAATGTAATGGACCATCACTAGGACAGTTCAATCCGGAACAGTATGTGAGGTCCTGGCTGGCAAAGGGAAGGAGAAGTGCTGATGAAAGAGCCTGTCCAGCTCCAGCCCCTGATACTGATGTCCCCAAGGCCTTCTGGAGCCTTTTCTAACAATGTGAAGTATATTGCAAAGCAGCTCACCCAGTGAGAAGACTTTTGGCATAATGTGCCGATTTGTACAGATCCTGGAGATAGAAGGACTTCAGACCAACCAGGGAGTTATCTGATCAGCTTGGTGTTCAATGTAACTCTTTACCATGGCTCAGACTTTGTTACTTGCAGTTACAGTTTCTCATTTTAGATTGTGCAAATTTTGCATTTGTTTTTACATGTTCTTTGTTCATGCTCTTTATCATTTTTCCGAGTTGGAAAGTTAGATTGCATCATAGTTTACTTTATACATATTTGTATTCTTCAGTGGTGAAGTATATTGCAAAGCAGCTCAGCCATGTGAGAAGACTTTTGGCACTTTTTCGTTTTTCGTTTTCTGAGTTGCAAAGTTAGATTGCATTCAAAATGTACAGAAATACTTAATTTTGTTAAAGCTTTTTATAAAAAATGCTTCTGACCAGAGCTTTGTTTCCTTGTCATTAATGTTGAACACCACCAGAGGGGCTCTCACCTGAAAGGTCTCTGCTTCATGTGTCTTCAGCAGAAGATCTAGACTTTGATTGCTATATTTTCAGTTAATATTGACCTTACTGAGCTTTAGCCATATCCGCTGCCTATCATAAAAAATGTTAAGTACAGTGAACCTTTCTAAAATATACAGTAGTAAAGAGACAAACCCACCAGCATTATAGTAGCCAAATTCTTGTTTGTGGGCTGTATATATAAAATTGACTTGAAAAAGTTGCTGATTTTAGAGTACTGGCACCTTTTTCATTCCAATTCAAGCACTGTATATCAGGGTTGCCAACTCTCACGCATCTGGCGTGTGACACATGCTTTCACTCTCAATGTCACGCTCTCACGCTGCCCAAACTATTCTCACGCCAAAAACAAGATGAACCGGCGATCGTTTTTGGTTGGTTATTTACAATGTTGAGTTGACAGCTGCTCAAGCTGTCGAACCGCTCCCTCCCTTCCCCCACCACTCTTAACAATGTTAACAGACAGCAGAGCCGGTTGGTCAATCCCCGACCCGTATTGCGCATGCGCAGATCTAAGATCCAGTAGAAATTATAAAAAGTAAAAGTCTGCTGCTTATTGTTCTACTAGGCCAAAATAGAGTCAAAGAGTATATGAGAGTGAGAGTGCGTTAATTCATATATTTGGAAGTTTGTAGTAAGTCTGTAGATTTGTTTAAGTGTGTGTGTTTCATGTATAGGCCTCTCACGATAATTAATTTAGTTGGATACATTTTCCCAGAAATTATTGCGATAAACGATAATATTGTCGGCACCGTTGTATGACCATTTTAGATCACTGACATAATGATAATATATAATAATAATTCAAGTACATCCTTTCAAACTGCTAGTCACATCCTCATATAAATGGCAATTTATCGAGGTCAGAAAAGTTATGGAGTTCATTTTTATTTATCGTACGATAAGTCAATTAATTGCTTACCGCGACAGGCCTATGCACACAATAAAACAGTGGAAACAAACATGTTTGACTTTCATTAGTGAATGAAACGTTGTGCCCTTTATAGTCTGTGTCCAATATTGTGTATTTGTATATATTGTATATATATCATATATATATATATATGCTAAGGTCCCGCTACTGACAGGATAGCAGTCATTTAGTGCGCATGTGTAATTAAACCCATGATATCAAAATCTCACTCCAGCCAGGTACCCAAAGTTGGCAACCCTGATATATGCTGTTGAAACCTGTGCAATATATACCTGGCTGCTAAATCCGCAGAACTGTTACAGGGTGTGTATTATGTAAAATGTGTAACTTTAAAAAAATGTATAATTTTTTTTTTTAATCTTTAATACTTTTTGTATGCATGCTTTAGGTAACATTACGCTGTCTTTGGCTCTTCTCTGCTGTAACAATGTAAATGTATCCCCTGTGTGACGTCTAGGGGCTGTGCTGGTGCTGGTCTGACCGCTGCAGGAAGGAAGGACCTGCGGTATCTCTCCGTGAGACAGCGGGGGATGACATCAGGTCCACCAGAACAACCTGCTGGCTCGTTGCGGATACGTAATTTCACATTCTAGCACAGTTTATTGTGCTTATACCTTGATATTTGCCAACTACGATGCTCAACAGCTCGCTTAACGGAACTTTGACGCTGGTATCAGTTTACCACCAATCACGGGAGTATTATGTATAGAAAGTATTGAGTTATATTTCTCGCGCTACCTAACATCCATGAAGGCAACATGACAGAGGTAGGCCTGTCACTCAGGATGCCAAACTACTCTTTGCTAAGCCCCGCCCCCCCAAGCAACATCAGGGCCAAAAGTCTGAAAGCGAAAAAAAAAGATCTGAAAGCAAAAAACGATCTGAAGGTGAAAAGAAATGTGAAACCTGAAAAAACAAGATTTGAAACTGAAAAAATAATTGTTTTGAATCTGAAAACGAAAAATCTGCAACTGAAAAAAATAAGGATTCAAATATCAAAATATGTATAAAAGTGAAATCTGAAAACTGAATCAAAATAATATTCAACCTGAAAAATTATTTCAAATACTTATTTTTATTTTGAATACATCATTGTATTTTTCAAAGTTCAGGATACAAACTTGAACTTTCAAATAAATTGTATTTTTTTGAATGATCAAAACCAGCGCCATATAGATGGCGCTGATCAAAATGTATGACCCTGAAATAGCTCCATACAGCTTGCAGCTGGATACTGTTATCTGATTGGCTGTCCGGCTCTGATCACATGACCTAACATAACCCAATCCCGTCTGTTTCCAAATCAGTACTCTCACAGCGCAGGGAAAGAGCTCCTTCTTTGTACTTTACCGTGTTTTTAGCAATGAAACAACTAGGTTAAATGTGATTTTATATAAAGAACAGACCTCAACGCTGTTATCTGCGGTATTTGAATGAACCTGGACGCATTTTAACAGGTGGGTTGACCGTTTTAGGTAAGGTAAGGTGAAAGCTACTGGTTTTGTTGTTTACCACTGTCGGCGACTCTAGTCTGCTCAGTAAACTAGACGTGTGTAACAATGTAAGTTAACGGTTAATTACATTATAATAATGATGGTGCTACAAATGGGTTTGCATAGTGCTTCTTATCTAAATGTGTGTTTTCAAATCACTTTTAAGTGACCCACATTAGTAGATGTTGTTAGCCTACTACTAGCTATGTATCTCTGTTATCTTCTCTGAAGCTCACAGCAAAAGGTGTTGCTGGGTCATTCGATCATATGAATCTTCCCTGACTCACTCTCACTGGTAGTGGAGCCAAAGCTCTCGTGTCCCTGTCAGAGGAGGAATAAGTATTCAGATGCTTTGTTTGAATGTAAGAACAAAAGTATTATAAACAAACTGTTCTTCAAGTATAACAAATAAAAGTCATTTGTAATTTACACACGGCATCTATTGCACGTCTGTCCGTCCTGGGAGAGGGATCCCTCCTCTGTTGCTCTCCCTGAGGTTTCTCCCATTTTTCCCTTTAAACTGTGGGTTTTCTCTGGAAGTTTTTCCTTGTACGATGTGAGGGTCTAAGGACAGAGGGTGTCGTATTGTCATACTGATATTCTGTACAAACTGTGAAGTCCACTAAGACAAATGTAACATTTGTGATATTGGGCTATATAAATAAACATTGATTGATTGATTGATTGATTAATTTGTGTGAGAACAAAAAAATCCCTTTTGTGTGTTTATAATTCTATTTATATATGTGACACATTTCTAGGTAATATTGTTGCATCAAGTACCTCAACATTTTACTTAAGTACAGTACTTGATTAATGTACTTAGTTACTTCCCACTTCTGGTTCCTCTCTAATGTGATGTGCTCCTCTGCTCAGACAGGCAAGCCTTCTGCTACCAGTATAAACTCCATAAGAGTTTTTTTCAAGTTGTTTTGCTTTGAATGCTACATATTTCACCTAAAAGGCATCATCTGCTAATTTACACTCAATGCAGATATGGTGGAAAGTAGTAATTTAAAGTCAAGTGGTACTGGAAACTCTATACTTCAATATGTTTCCTCCCTTAGGCTTAAAAAAAACCATTCTGATCAAAATATTGAACCGACAATGGAAAATATGATATATGTGAAATTGCAAAATGACTGTTTCCTAATCCAGACTCACTTTCCATATAACCTAGCATAGCTTGGCCTCCAATATCACACTGGAAGATTTTAACTTTCCTTTTCTTAATTTGTATACCTCTTGTTTCCCCTGGGATCTGTTTACAAGAGCCTCAAAACAAAGCAAATATTTAGCTTTCTTGAGACAAGATTTAAGGAAAGCATTTCAGCCAAAATATGTTGAATGGTTTGTTTCCCGCATGTGCATGACTTGAACAATTCCAAACTGTTCTGCAAGATCCCACGTCCAGGGCCCGTACTCGTGTGTTCCTAACCAGCAGCTTTAATGAGCTGTGAGAAAATGCTTTTTCAGAGAAACTGAAGCTCTACACTGCTGCTGTCAGCATTCAGGCGTCTATACTTCCTCTCTGTTTTAAGGAATCAGGAATCACAAGACCTGAGATTCCTGTAAAGAGTTAATTCTGTCGGGGATGTTATTGTTGGTGCTCAGCTCCCACAGCCCTTCGTGCCAGAGATGAGCTGTGCAGGTTATTCTCTCTGTGGAACCTTCCCTTTGTCACATCTGTAAAGAGAGCAGGGACAATGGCTGGGAGATTGCTCTGTTGTGTCATAGCTATGTAGTAGGGCTGTGCCTTGAGTGATATTGCAATAGTCCATACATTGCAATTTCATCTTACGTTTGATAAATTGTGCAGCCCTACTATGTTGCTACATGAAGTTAGATCAAGCATATTTATGACTATCACTTATGCCAACAAAAAAAAAGTGTTTTCAATTTTCAAATTAACTTTATATATTTCCTCATATGTTAACTTGTTTAGATCCCCAACTGTACCCTGGTTGGTAAACATCAGTGAAGTAAAGATGTTTACTTCCTGCTGCCACAATGTGAACGTTTCCTGTCATTCATCAGATCCTTCCCACTGAGTCATAAACACGTGATGTAACATTTCGTTTTTTTTTTGGCTCAGAGCTGCATCATCTGACCGGAGCGGACTCTACCCATATCATCCCAGCAGATGTTATTCTGTCTGTGACAATGAAGACTGACATCCCATACAACCAGGTAAGGACCATAACTTTATTAAATCAAAGAGTTTTAAAAAGCAAAAAATATTTTCAATCAGTTCTGTCAAGTAAGGAATACCAATCTTTTACTGGGTCAAACAGGGGTAATGTGACAATTTGGCTAATACTTAAAAATGTAATTGATAGATAGAACTTTTTGATGTTCAATTCTGACGTTCAGGGAAAGGATTCAACAAAAAATGATTAATTAAAGTAACCATAACAACGTGTACTGTATTGAAATACAATGTGCTGTGGGAAATTCCGTTCTGTACATGTCCGTAGTAGTTACTCAGAGCAGAGGAGACCATGTGGTCTGTTGAAGGATGATAGCTTATCTCATGTTACAGTGTCAAATTCATTTCATACTTACTTTCATTTTAGAAAACCTCCCTAGCATACAGAGTTAATAAACAAATAATGCAATGTATTTCACATTTGTAGGTGGTATTACCCTAATAACCTTTAGCTGTGGTGGAGATGAGGTTATCCATTATGAGGAGTGACGAACAGGGCTGAGGTCAAATAGTCCAAAAAATCCAGTCCAGTGTCTTTTCCTAAACACTTTAACTTAACATCAGTGAAAAGTGTCATGGGGTTAAGGAAAGATGGGTACCACTTTACAATAAGACTACCCTTATAAAGGATTCATAAAGGGTTTATAATTAGGTTATTAATTAGGTTGTAAACACTTTATTAATCTTTAAAGGTGCGGTAGGTAAGTTTGAGAAACCGGCTCTAGATACACTTTTTGTTATATTCCATGCAATGTTCTTAACATCCCGATAGCAATGAATATCTTAAGTGCTTTGACAAAAAATCCATTAAAAAAACGTCATCTGTGGAAGCCGTACAAAAAGCACGACTAATCATTTTAGCCGGCCCGGCTAAAGTAACTGGATGGCCTACCTGCCTGTCAGCCTTCCATCTGTGCACAAACTTATCTCGTGCCCTCATTGGTCATGTTCGTGTGTGTTGGAGGAGGTATTTTCAAATTCTAGTGCACTCGAGCTGGTTTCTCCAAAATTACCTACCCCACCTTTAAGAACCATTTATTAACCAGTTCTAACATAGACACATACTGTACATCAACACAGGCTCGCTATTTGGCAAGATGACTAAGCCTTATATTGGCACTAGCTTACTTTGTGTTCTTCATCAGCCAGCATCCTTAATATCTGTTGTTCACTGAGTTGATTCCCCCTTCCATCTTGATGTTTCTTGGCATCTCTTTATGACCATTTATTTACAAGTTACTAACATGTATAACTGCCAAAAGGGAGCCTTGTAAAGCACATTCCCATTTATTAATGAGTTACTACTATTTATAATTTGTTTAAGTTATATTAAGCCTTAAAGTTATGCATACATTAGGGCGTGGTCACATTGAGTGACAGGTAATTCCAGTGACTGCTGCAGTTAGCTTTCTGCTCTGCTAGCAGCTCTGTGATGCTACAGGGGCTCTGCCTGCTCAGCTCATCTGGGGAACATAACTTGAACTCTGCCGTGTTTGTTGTGCTGGTGCCTTGTGGACTATTCTTCATAATGGATTATTGTGACTCGCTCCGCGTTCAAAACAGACGGTGCATGAATGCGGTTTTGCGGTAAGTGAAATTTGAGTACTTTATTTATGTGTTGCTTATATTTAGTCAGCTAATGTTAATGAATGTTAAGGCTTGGGTTAGCATATAGTAAGCGAGTGGTAGCTACATCGGTGCTAACGATGCTAATCGTAGCCTCCAAGTTAAAATAATAGACTGTATATATAAAGGTTAAAACGAAATAGACGTTAAGTGGGATAATACTGTTGAACAAACAGCTTCTGTTTGAGGTTGATAAAATAAGGTTACATCCTTGTAACTTAGAGATATGTTATTATGTAGGTAGGAACTGTATGCATCGCTAAGGTTAATTTAAATTGGCTATGCTCAAGTATGTAGACAAGTTAACGTCGAAGTAGTGTATGTGAAATCAACCTCACAATAAGATGTGTGTATATTACAATTATTAATGTCATATTTCAAGATGATTACTTAGATATTACAATATGGTTGGTTGAGCTGGAGTTCATTATTGAGCTTACACGTTAACGTCACAGTCATCTGAAGAACGAACCCAAACCTTGTTGTTTTTATTAATTGTATTACCAAATGGGTATCAAATAAACAGTAAGCATTGGTAACACAACTTCCAAAGTTACAGTAAAATAAAAAGGACCCTGACTCGGACAATACACAATCCAACATGTTCAACAGAAGAGAATCAGTTATATTGTTTGTACACATGGTACTTTACATATATATCTGTTTGTTTAAGGTGTCCAGGTGATGCAGGCAGGCTGGACCATAGAGTGAGAGACAGAACTGGACTCCTCACAGCAGTGAACTTCAGCACAGGTACAAAGACTATTTTTGTCATACTGTACAAAGAATCAAGAAAGATATTGGTTTAAATAAATGAAGTATTGACTTGAATACACTGATATACGTTCCATTAAACAATACTAAATACTAGATCACCTACACATCAGTTAAGTTGAGGGGTTTTTCCATGCAAAAAGTTACATTTAGATGTTAACAAGCACTATGATTTAGTCAGCTTTCTAATTTAATGTATTGAAGGCAAAGATATTTGACACATAGTGAGAACTGCTACTATTTATCTCTCAATATTGTCTGTAATAAACGTGGTAAAAGTTATTCTTTCAGTGAGACAACAGAGCAAGCTTCTACAGTTGCACTACGTTTTGCTAACAGTTAAATATTATTTTGATAATAACATATATTTCAATGTTGATGAACTTCATACTGTTCATTCATAATCTGATTGTCTTTATAGCTCACTGTTGAAATAAAAAAAAAACATTACAATTACAAAATAATTATATCTACAATCCCTAAACACACAAACACACCGCTTTCATAAATAACACACTTGTTCTGCAATAATATGTTTCCTGTAATTTTTGTTAGGAAAGGACATGCCTGAAAGACACAACATGTTCTCCTTCTCTGAGGGTCAAGAAGAACATCCAAGAGGAACATTAAAAGCTGATGTTATGAGATTTTAAGACCAGTACACTAAGAAACTACTTTTATTGTAAAAACAGTCAGCTGATCGAATGCACCTATTTCCACATCTACACTCCATCAGCTGATTATTTCTATTTGCCTCACTTTATGAGCTTCACATCACTTGTGCCTTGTACCGCAGAGTTTGCAACGTCACAAATAAATGGGGCCAATCTTCAGTCAGATGTGAATGTGTAATCTAACATTTTCAGTAAGAATAATGGACAAAAGGAGTGCAAATACAAATGCAATTTATTGAAATGTGAACCAAAAGTTAATCAAATGTTTTAAATAAAAAGCACATATGGACAGAAGGTGTAAACCTATTAAATGTATAAGTAAACACATTTAGTCAAATAAAGCGACAGACTAGGCCTGTGCTGTTGGTATCAGCTGTGCCCAGCATGGGCTCCTCCATCAGGCCTGGTCCTCCTCGCTGAGGAAAGACCCTCAGTCCATCACACAGAGGTTTCTCCCTGAAGTCTCTGCAGCTCTCTGGACACCACGCTGTGTCAATCCGTCCACACTGAATATGAGAGGGGGGAAATGAAAATAATAAATGCTTTAGACAATAAGAAACATAAAGTTGACTGTTGAGTTGCTCAGTTTTTTTAGATTGTCAATACTATTACTGTATAACTAATATCTCAGGTTAAGAGGCACATTCAAATAAAGATTGGTCTTTAAATACATGTTGTCTTTTGAATTGTTTGTCTAAAGTCAAGGATCTAGAACTGGTACTTAGTTTTAATGATACAGTCTGGTTATTATGCTGTTTGGAAGAGGCCTCACAGGTAAGAGCACTAACTAGCTACTATCACATGTACCTTAGCTTGACTTAAATGTATTAAACGTATAGTTAAGTGATATCAAAATACAAATAACTAATGTCATAAAAACATATTAATATTTGCTTGATTCCAGTGTTGAATTTAGCACAATTGCATACAAACGTTAAGGGATTTTAAGATTCTGAAGTATTATGCTAAAAACTCAATAACTTAGATTATTATTTATAGTTTTGCTCAATAGTTTCATGTCCGCTTACCTTAGAAACATAAAATGCCACGGCAGTGTGCAGATGGGGAGCATGTTAGCTTAGCTTGGTAGCTTCAGCTAGCTCTGGAACTTCCAGCTCGGTGGCAGCAGGTCCCGCCTCGGCTCCGCCTCTTTGCCCTTATTTGGAGCAGGCTGGAGTAGGCGGGAGTTGAACTCTGACGTCACTGTCGAGCCGTTAGTGGCCGACTCCGCCTACTAAGGGCTTCTCGGCATCTCTGCAGAATCCAATGGGTGACGTCACAGACCCTACGTCCATTTATATATACAGTCTATGGTCACAGCCCACGACCTATTCCAGACTGTACAAAAAAACGTCCGTTTTTGTAAACCAGCTCAGTAGCGCCCCCTATTGTGCGATAGTCACATATCGTTTCTCCAAACTACCCGAATCTTGCCACAGACATTCCTCATGGAATTGCGGACATATTTCAAAATGGCTTCCATTAGCCCCACCCCACAGAAAGTTGGCCATTTTGACAAATCGGCGTTATTCATGCGTTTTAAGCGCATTTTCGCAAACACCTCCTAGGGAAAAGATCGGAAAAATTCCAGTCCAGGACAAGTTCAGCCCATCTCCAATATCATGTTAAATTGCGAATAAAACAGTTGCTAGCTCAATCGGGGCGGTCGTAAGCTAACAGATAATGTACCATTTTTGACAATTTGCATGTAGCAAATGACTCCAAAGTACTTGCATATGGTTGTTCCAAAATGCACGACACGTTGTATACACATTGCTCTTGTGATTGCGGACATCTTTCAAATTTCCTTCCATTTGGCCCGGCCCTCAGAAAGTCGGCCATTTTGAAAATATGCAGTTTCCATGCCTTTTCTGCACATTTTTGCAAAGGCCTCCTTGGGAAATGGCTGGAAAATGTCCATTCCATGACAAGTTCAGCCCATATCCAATGCGATGCTACATTGCGAAGGAATAGTCAGTCGCTCGAATGGGGAGCTCACAGGCTAGAAGGTACCATTTTCCAACATTTAGATGTCAGATAAGCTACTCTGCCTTCCACATCATCTGTCTCTTTCTCACACACACACACACTCACACACCCACACACACATCCACACACGCACACACACACACTCGCATACACACACACATACACACTCACACATACACACTCAAACACACTCACACACTGCTGGCAATGATGTTGAGTGTTAGTCCAGCAGCTCCCTCTGCTGGCGGCACATGCAATTACAACAGACACATATACACTCCATAACACACACATACAGCTCTTAAAGCATATAGTATATATCAGGCTACAGCCCATGTATATGTTATGATGTTAAGCACTCTTTGGTTTCATGAAAAATATCAAGTGTTTATTTGTAGATATCTACTAAAGCATACAAATAAAGTGTGTAATGTAGGCCTGATACTTATATTATTGAGAGATATATATAGTACACACACTGTTCTGCTTTCTGTACTGGGCTCAGCAGCTCTTCTCACTGTAAATGTTGGCTCACAATTAAAGCAGTTGTATTAAAAACATACATAGCCTAATATCCAGAGGAGATCTATTTATTGATTAAACAAACGGTCAAGGGCAGAAAGTCTGCACAACCCACTGCACCACACGCCCCGGTTACTGCTCCTCCAGACAGCCTCCGCGATAATCGATCGTCGACTAGCGCCCACATACGTTTCCGGGTCGCTGCCGGAGGACCGAGGAGTCTGGGACGCGAACATTTGAGAAATTACGAACGGCTCATTTCGGAGGACTCGCGAGCGTCTGCTTGACGCCGGGACGACCGACGACCCTCCCCGACAGGTGCTCGGACGCGAAGGCTCGCCCACAACTACGTGCACGTCTGTGACCGCAGTTTTAATTGCCGGCTTTATAAACGTGGACAAATGTGAAAAGTATATTACTTCATTACTAAGATTGGAATTGAAATTTAAAAAAGGAAAGTGAAAGGAAATAGTTACTGAGGGTGCTCCTTTTCACTCAAATTAATCAACATGAATCACAATTATTATAATTGGTCAAACTATTTGAATAAATAATACTTTATGCAGTATTGTATGGTTAGGCCTATATATCTTCTACTGTGCATATAATCATTCAAACATGTTGAATTTAGAAAAAAGTAGCTTAAGTGACATCACACAATTCAGTAAACACTTTGAAATGTCATCCTATTTTGATAATTGTATAGTAACTAATTAGCATAACATTCATAGCTCACCTTTTGGTTAAAGTTAAACACCTATAAGGACTTGGGCAAGTAATGGCATAAGATGTTACATGCTAAACTTACATGATCTGTGTTTGTCGGTCATCAACGTTTTTCTCCATGAACGGCTGAATGGTGCTTCACTTTAAATGTTGCAGTCACAAGGAATTGTGGGAAAGCATTAGCTCCTTTCCTTTTCTAAAGGATGGTCCAGTGTATCCTAAGCTGAAGGAGATAACAAAGGAAGCATTAAACTCCTTTCACCTCGTGAGGAACCTTCCTAAGCACAAAATACTTTTCAAACACAACCCCTCCCTTGCTCTTCCTCCATTAAGATTTATTTTGAACCATAGTAGTTTACATTTGAATTAAATATAACATAAAAAGCACCAATAATCACATCCACAAACATGTATGAGTGCTACAGTGATTGTGTTCCCAATAAGATAAATGATCTCTTGTTGCAAATTGTAAATGTGTTAAGGTTGAAATTGAATTCCTCCAAATGTTGTATTTTTTATATATTTTAGAAGTTGTATGCTCATCGTGTTAATATGTGTTTTCTGATGCCTGCAGCTGGTGGACGTGGAGAGGAGGAGACAAGAAACCTACAGGAAAGCACAAGTGGTAAGTCACACACACACACACACACACACACACACACACACACACACACACACACACACACACACACACACACCTACAATGATTTACTCCATGTTGGTCAACAGCCGCAGCTTGTAAGTGTCACCCCCCCTTGCAGTATTCCAGGTGTATTGTAGCTCTGGCCACTGTGGCGGCTCTGCTGCTGGCTGCCACCGCCCTCTACAACCTGCTGACCCCCAGGGCCCCCCCCACCCATCCCGCACCGAGCAGCAGCCTCCGCCTGCCCCGTGCCCCGTCCTGCTCAGACCCCTGCAGGTAACACACAACTGCACACACACACAACTGCACACACACACAACTGCACACACACACACACACACACACACCCACACACACACACACACACTCCATTTTAAACCGCAGCTCATAGTTTACCTTCTCTAGCTGCAAAGACGTTGCTCAGTCATGATGAAGCTGCAAGTATTTAAAACGTTATATTATTCAAGGCACCTCTTATCAATGTTGATTCAAAAGTTAAGCTTTACAGTGAATTCCATCAAAAGATCTATAACAAGCAAGCACATTTATTTCTTGAATATATAATATATATATAGATATAGATAATATGACACAGTACAATTATGTCTGTGTTTCATTCAAGCTCGGTGTGTGTGGAACGAGCCATTTTGTGTGCGAGAGAGAGAGCACCGTTACCGGAGATTGTTGTTGTTGGCTTCTGGTGCTAGCGAGCTACGCTAACGGACATAAGGAGCTTTTTCAACAACAAGGTGGAGGAAAGTCCTCTCCTGTCAGACTGAGAGGCTCAGTGAACTAAAGGGCTCTCTGAGTGTTTAGATAGTTTAAGGCAGTGTTTCTCAAACTTTTTCATACCAAGGACCACTTAACCAATAAAAAAACACTCGCGGACCACCTAACTCCACAAATATCCAAAAACACATCGTTTTTTACAAATCGTCTGAAAATTGTACAAACAAGTGGCAACATGTGTGATGAAGGTGCTTATCTGGGCTATATCATGCAATCGAAAGTGAAACTTAAGCTCGTTCCATTGCGGAGATATTGCCGCGAGAGTGCGAAAAACTTAAATAAATTTATTTATTTCAAATGTGAAATTTTACCAATATACTCACGGACCACTAGGGGGCGCTCACGGACCACCAGTGGTCCGCGGACCACACTTTGAGAAGCACTGGTTTAAGGGGACCTATCATGCAAAATGCACTTTTGTACGTCTTTTATACATGAATATGTGTCCCCGGTGTGTCAGGGAACTCACTAAGTGTCAGAAAACACAACCCTCTCTCTTTTCCTCCATACCCAAATCTCTAAAAACGGGGCTGCAACGGATCTGATACAGACAGATTTTAAAATTCTCTGACGTCAGGAACGAGGAGCTCCGCCTATATGGGCAACTCTCCACCTATCAGGGGAATGTGGGGTTGGGCCACGGCCGGCCATTGACGCTCGAAAGCGCTGGAGACGCTGTATTACATATGCCAGGCCTGTAAGTGGCGCTGTAGTCTGCCACAAAAACAGCGAAGAAGGCTTCCCGTGCATGGTTGCCCTTCTGTTTATTCTCCGCTGTGGCTCTTTTTCTCCCTCCCCGAGGCAAGCATTTGCTTCTGCTGCTGTTATTCAATGCAATCCCTCCCTCGCTGTAATTCTCTCCGGTTAGTCCACCGGCAGATGACAAACACCCACCTCTCCGCCTCTTCCAAGGAACGAGGGGACCGTGCGGCAGAGTTTTTTGCCGTTCAACATGTCCGTTAAAGTTTAAATCTTCCGGACAAAATTAGAAAAGTGCCGGTCAAAGATCTTCTTTGTTATTTATTGAGCTTTAAAACAAATGAATAATGACTCTATGTAATCATATAAGAATAAAACACGGAGGACGGAGATCTCTTTTCCTCCCCCTCTTCTGAGAGCCCAGCAGCTGATCTCAGAGCATGCTCCCCTCTCCTGCAGGGGGGCGTGGTCAGCTGCAGCTCATTTGCATTAAAGCTACGTCAGCAAAGACAGGGCTGGAAAGAGCAAATAGAGCGAAATGAGGCATGGCTAAAATGCAGGATCTGTTTGGTATTTTGAAAAAAAAACTATATTTATATACTTTATATAGATATGGCCCTACAATATATTGTTCAACTATAGCATGATAGGTCCACTTTAACTTTAGTGTAAGTTATCTCAGTGGGTCTCAAACGTTTTTGTCACGATTAATGTAAACAATTATTTCCGAGGCACACGTTTATATGATCATTATAGTTATAAAGAAATAAGAGAATAAATGAAAAACAGGTTTGAAATAATATATGACAGTAAAAAAACAATAAAGTTTAAAAGGTTGATTTGTAAAATATCCATAAAGAAAAAGTAAATATATTTACAGTTCTGTTTCAAATGGGTGTTGAGAGATGTATCCATAGATCTCTTCAAGTGCACCAGATTGATGCTTTTAACTTCAATATTTAAAAAAAATCTTCCCAGGGGAGCGAGCATAAATACATTTAAACCATAACAGTGTTTCCCCCCCCCCTCAGGATTGTTCTGTTGGAGAGCATCCCTGAAGGCCTGACGTTTAACTCCAGCACCCCCCACCCCTCCATCTACCAGGCCTGGCTCCACCTGATGGCCGAGGCCCGCAGCAGCGTGGACATCGCCTCCTTCTATTGGACGCTTACTAACAAAGACACTGGCACTCACGAGCCGTCGGCCAATCAGGTCAGCCCGAGCTGTGAATGGCCACATGGCACAGGATGAGTTTAACTCCTCAAAATATGTGTTTGATTAACATTACCTGACATTTACCAATATAAAATAAGAAATGTGTTCTATTTTTTTATTATAGAAGCGTAAATAACATTTAACGTTCCGGTTGTTTTCTTGCTGTTCGCAGGGTGAGACTGTTCTGAAAACACTAGCTAAACTCTCCGGGAAGGTGTCAGTTCGTATCGCAGTGAACACACCACAGCACAGTCAGCCGCAGGACGACCTCCGACTGCTCAACGCCTCAGGTGACACTTTTGCTTTGTACCAGCGAGTCGAGACAAACGTTTCAGCTGTTGGGTCTACAACTGTAGTTCTTGTTTTTTTAAGACGACATTTAGCTTGAATTTGAGGGCTGACAGTGTAAGAGCCAGAATCTGTATTTGTTTCAGAAAATAACCAAATGAGTTATTTTATCAAACATCACTTGTCATATACACTCACTGGCCACTTTTTGTAGGTACACCTGTTTTAACTGCACGTTAACGCAAATATCTAATCAGCCAATCACATGGCAGAAACTCAATGCACTTAGGCATGAAGACATCATCAAGACGACCTGGTGAAGTTCAAACAGAGCATCAGAACGGGGAAGAAAGGAGATTTAAGTGACTGAACGGGGCATGGTTGTTGGTGCCAGACGGGCTGGTCGGAGTATTTCAGAAACTGCTGATCGACTGGGATTTTCACACACAACCATAGGGTTTACAGGCAATGGTCCGAAAAGGGGGGAATATCCAGTGAGCGGCAGTTCTCTGGGAGAAAATGCCCTGTTGATACCAGAGGTCAGAGGAGAAAGGCCAGACTGGTTCAAGGTGATAGAAAGGCAACAGTTACTCAATTAACCACTAGATACAACCAAGGTATGCAGAAGACCCTCTCTGAACCTCAACACGTGGAACCCTGAAGCAGATGGGCTACAGCAGCAGAAGACCCCACCGGGTGATGTTAGAAATTAAAATCAATGTTTTGATGGCATAATGTAGCTTAAACATACCGTCAGTTTAAATGCTGTTTCATACTAAAAACCAGAAGTTCTCGCGCACAATGTCTGATGTCAAGCTTTTATTTTGAAAAACCTTAATCTCCGGTTAGCATTTAGCATGTGGCTAATATTCCTAAGTGAAATGACATGGAGTGATGCACACCAAAACCTACTGATTTTAACACTACAACTATAGACGTCGAGATATTATTGCTGAATATTAAAATGAAGGTACAGTTTATTTTAATAAGTTTTGTTTACAGACGTAGGTAGCATATGACAACATCCGGGACTACCGTAAATGATAACTGTCGTAAAGTATTTCCAGTGTTTTTAAAGTATTGAATTACAGCGTTAGAAATGTGTTAAATGTAAAGTCATGAAAGAGATAAGGAGGAGAAAAGGCGTGTTTAGATATATATTGAATGTACAATATCTGAATCCTCTGTTATGCGCAACAACGGACATTAAATACGCGGAGGGCCGGCCCCCAGCAGCGCCAACCGGCCCACAGGGAGGAGCCAGCAGAGGATATTTAACAGCTGGAAAGGTGGTTCTCGCCCTCTTTTCTGCCCTCTCGAGAGCCCGAGAACACAGCTGTTGCTCTCACTGAACCATATTCTGCTTGTAACATTACTGCGCCTTTTATTAATTAAAGTACCCATTTGAACCTTCTCAGAGACTCCATTGGTCTCCTACTTTTAAAGCTTCTCTCCTGGACGCGAGAATAATGAACAAAGCTAATAGTGACCCTCCTGTCAGATAGGAACAGGAAACTGAGGCTACAATTCACACGGGCTCACCAACAATAAACAATAAAAGATTGGAAATATATTTTCTTGCCAATATATTTTCTTGGCAAACTTTGTGACCCTTAGTATTGAGCATGGTTTTAACGCCACAGCCTACCAGAGTGTTGCTGCTGACCATGTCCATCCCTTTATGACCACAGTGTACCCATCTTTTGGTGGCTACTTCCAGCAGGATAACTCCATGTCTCGAATATCTAATTATCTCCAACTGGTTTCTTGAACATGACTTCATGAGTTCACTGTTCTCAAATGGCCTCCACAGTCACCAGATCTAAATCCTATAGAGCACATTTGGGATGTGGTGGAACGAGAGATTCACATCATGGGTGTGCAGCCGACGATCTGCAGCAACTGCGTGATGCTATCATGTCAATATGGGCCCAAAATCTCTGCGGAATGTTTCCAGCACCTTGTTGAGTCTTTGCCATGAAGAGTTAAGGCAGTTCTGAAGGCAAAAGGGGGTCCAGCCCTGTACTAGCAAGGTGTGTCTAATAAAGTGACCGGTGAGTGTATATGTTTCGATATATCAAGTATTTACCTTGGTCAAAAATATCAATCATCTCATGAGATAGATGTTTAACCCTATTGTAGAGCCTTATTACTTTCTTTTGTGTACTGTAGCAGAAAATCATAAGGTCGACTACGTTTTATACTCCCTCTCCATGCATTCACGGCTGTCAGTGTCTCTGTAATTATGATAAATACTTTTTGTTTCAGGAGCTAATATCAGGGAAGTAAATGTGAAAAAGCTCACCTCAGGAGTCCTCCACACAAAGTTCTGGGTCGTGGACAAAAAACACATTTACATTGGCAGTGCCAATATGGACTGGAGGTCTCTCACACAGGTACACACACACACACACACACACACACACACACACACACACACACACACACACACACACACACACACACACACACACACAGGTTATCAGTTAGAATGAAGTTTCACCAAATCAACTAACTAATTCAAGTATAGCTAAATACAGTAATTATGTATTTGTTTTATTTTCTCTTATATGTGTAAATTAGATTTTGTTCACATCCCAGGCAATAATGTGTTAAACTCAATAAGAGGGTGTCTTGTAACCGATCCAAGCAGAATTTTGTTTCTTCTGCTTTTAAGAGGAAGTTTGCTCAGTTGGTCACATGCCATGCAGAAAAAGCAGTTTAGTGCGCTGTGATATGATACAGTAATGAGAGGAAATAAATGACGTTTATGAAGTTTCCAGTGAAGTCTGAGAACTTTCACATGGTCAAAGAAGAACATTTGAAATTAGATATCATACTGGAGTTATGATCGGTGAGCAACATTAACAAAATAGTTTTTGTATGTGTTGCTTCGGCAGTTGTTTTACTCTTTATTGCCACAGTTTTAAAATGCAGAAACAATTGAAATGTAAGATAATGTCCTGCTGTGGTGCAGGTGAAGGAGCTGGGCGCCGTGGTGTACAACTGCAGCTGCCTGGCTGCAGACCTGGGGAAGATCTTTGAAGCCTACTGGTTCCTGGGGGAGAGTGACACAGTGCCCTCACCTTGGCCCCCTAGCTTCTCCACCAACTACAACAAGGACACGCCCCTCGAGCTGCCACTCAACAACACGCCGTCCAACGTCTACCTGTCGGTGAGAAACACACAGGGAGGGGGGGGGGGTGGGGATCTGTGAATGTCAGTATATTATTAGAAAGAGCCCAATCTGTTTAAAAGGGGCTTGCTGCATATTGTCCCTAAAGGGGCCTACACACCAAACTGACAACAAAGAACACGTCCCGACGGAACACGACTGTTGTGTCGCCTCACGTCTCCTGCGTCTTGGCCAACAGTCGCACTGGAACACACCGCAAAAACTTCAGCCGACGGCCAAGTAGCACGTACGAACTGCGCATGCGTGAGTGGCAATAACTCTCCTTACCAGCAGGCGGCGGTAGTGTGTATTCGTCATTCAAAAGAGGCAACAACCGGAAGACAGACTGCGTGATACACAGAGAGAAGAAGAACAGACTGCGTGATATAAACAAACAACAAATAGCGGGTGCGTTGGTCTTCGGTTTCTTCATTCCAGATCGCCATTGAAAAAAACAAAACTTGCGTCCTGGTGAGATGAAAATGAATAAGAATAGCCGTCTGTGCTTGCCTTCTTAATCGTTTGTTTGGGTCCCTCACTTCCGTTTCGATTCTCATGCGCTGATTCGCTAAGCTGAACAACCAATCGGAGTGATTTATTTTACCGACAGCCTACCGATTCAACATGTCGAATCTGAGGCGGAAGGTGTCGGCACGGCCAAAAAGACACAACGGTGCGGGACACACCAATCTGAGTAGGGCGACAGGACGCTTATCGACGGCCAGACATCTATCGACGGCCGAAATCGGCTCGGTGTGTCCGGGCCTTTAAGTGTATTTAATGCTGCTCCATTAAAATAAATTACATTAACCTTCAGTTGTGTTCAGGTCAAATCTGACCGATTTTAATACTTTCATCAATCATAAATATTGTGTTTTACATTTGATTTCTGCAAGGCCTTATGATATCCTCCATAGCAGGCATTTCAACATATACAATTGCTGATCACTACTTCCATTGAATTCTAAGTGGTTTTGTCTACTTTGTAACACCTATGATGTTTCTCGTCAAATATGACCACTATAGGAAATGAACGGGTAACCCTAGATTATGTTCATCCATCAGATGGTACACCCCAACTAATCAACAAAATGTTGTTTTAGAATACATTTCCAGTGTCTATTGTTTTTATATTCACTGCAGTTATTCATGTCAACCAGTAGTCTGAGCCATTGTTTATAACTTAAAAGGGTGTTAAATAAAATATGGTGATGATGAATGTTTTTTGTGTCAATGTAAGAGCAGTTAAAACAGACCAGTCAAATTTGACCGGGAACCCCAAGGTAAGAGAGGAGAAACGAACAAGATAGGAGGGGTTAATTCATTATTACTTAACCTCTGCTCCTTCTCATCATCTTAACAGGCTCCTGTATTGTTTTAAAATGTTGTTAGAAATGAACAGTTATTTACCCAGATGTGTTTCCTCTCCCTCAGAGCTCCCCTCCATCTTTCTGTGGAACCGGCAGGACTGGGGACCTGCAGTCCATCCTCAGTGTGATGGAGGACGCCCAGAGCTTCATTTACATCGCTGTCATGAACTACCTGCCCACCATGGAGTTCTCTCATCCTAAGAGGTACAGCTGTTCAGTACAGCCTCACTGAACTCAGTCTCACCTCCCTGAACGCCTCATCTGTGGCTACTCTGCTCCTGAACACCTTTGTTTTGAGTCTAATGTCTCCGTAGATGTAATCATGTTTAAAACTGGCTCCTATAGTCACAATGTGATTGTTTCAATGACAAGACATTTTTGTCCTGCAGTGGGAACCTAGCACACCACAGGGAGTAAAGACATAGCTTGATCGTTATTTTCTGCTTGCATCTCAGCCTGAACTGTTAATAAGATGCAGGCTCTCACTCATTATTACTGCTGAATTAAATGTAATTAAATTAATTTCATACTAAAATCATCAGTGTATACAATAGATTGAAAGCTTTGCAGTAGCGGTAAATGCATAAAAACTCATTTAATTTCCACTGTGTGGAGAGACTGCAATTAGTAAGAAGATGGTTGTTATGGCAACTGTTCAAAGAAGCAGCATGCTTCAGGTTCTCCAAATGATGTTGTCCCAGCACGATTTTTTAAAGAAATCTGGGACATTATTGGAATGAATGTTCTTAATATAATTAACAGCAGCCTTACTACTGTAAGTAGTACCGACATGCCTAAAACATGCTGTGGTCCAGCCCTTGATAAGAAAAACAAAGCTTTTTTTAACAATTTTAGACCTATTTCCAAACTTCCTTTTATGTCTAAAATTCTAGAAAAAGTAGTTATATTACGGTTGGAGTCTTTTTTAAATGTGCATGGTATTCTCGAGGTTTTCCAGTCTGGGTTTAAAACCCTCCACAGCACTGAAAGTGCTCTTTTAAGAGTTTTTAATGACCTGTTTTAACTACTGATGCTGGTAACAGTGCTGTTCTTATACAGCTGCCTTCGACACTGTAGATCAGGGGTGGCCAACCCGCGGCTCTCGAGCCGCATGCGGCTCTTTGCCTAGTTTCATGCGGCTCTTCAGTTCATATCGAATTGTATATGTGTGAGTTTGGGGGAGAGACACTGACTCCTGACTAGTGTTGCACGGTGTACCGATACTTGAAAGGTACCGCGATACCCTGCCGTTAAAAACGTTACGATTCCTCCGTTTCATTAGTATCGGTACTTTAAGAATGACGGGGAAAAGTACTCCGGTGAGAAAGCGCCGTTTTAATAAGAGCCGTGTGTGTTCAGCGCTCTGCTTCCACTCCCTGCACTGCAGCCTTGCCTGCAGTCCCTCCCCTCTCAAGCACGCTCTAAGTCCCTCCCCTCTCAAGCACACTCAAGTGCCTCCCCTCTCTCGTGCACGCGCTAGCTGCCAGAGCATGTGAGAAAACGAGAAGCATGGCTGCAAGTGGGAGTGCAACTGCCGCTGCCCCTCGGCTTGTTGACAAAAAAGACGCCAGAAGCGAAATTTGGAAGTATTTGAGCTATATCTCTGACAGTGAGGGCAAGCCTACGGACACCACGAGGCCTGTCTGTAAGAAATGTATTAATTGTATTTAATACGAATTATTGTCATTTATTTTATTTATTGTTCTCATTGTTTAAAAGTTTGTGTTATGGTTCTGGTTCTGGTGTGACATAAAGCACAATAATTACATTTAAGACTGTTTCCCGTTTTTTAAGAAAAGTATCGAAAAAGAATCGGAATCGCAATTCTTGACTTGGTATCGAAACCAAAATGTTGGTATCGTGACAACACTAGCTACTCCTGACAGTTAAACCTGATATTTAGTAGGTCTGTTAAGTATTGAATGCTGATAATTCTGACGTAATTTGGCCGGTCAAAGTTGTTTGGGCTCGGATAAAATCGCTCCGTTACTTTCGTCCCGTGTTACTTTCGTCCCGGCTCTCCCTACGTGTGTATGTGTGGTGTCAGGTGTCAGTATGAGAGGATGACAGCGCGTCTAATTTGGATGTGGCCCAAGAGCCAATCACAATAATACCTGCGATGCAGTGAACCAATCACCTTTGAGGGGGGGGAAACCTATCGTTGATTAAACACTATCCAGTGTTTCCCCTACCATTGTGTTGGAGGGGCGCTGCACCCCGCCAACGGAGCCCCGCGCCCCCCCTGAAATTCAAGGTGTTTAAAAAATATATATAATTTTTTTTTTTAAATATATATATAGCACCAAATTCCAAATAATCTATAACTACTGTCACTTTTCACATTGAACATGTGCTCTTTTATTAAATAAACTAAACGCTTTCATTTTAAGTTGTGAGTTTAGTGTTTTTGACCCTAAGAAACACTGATGCATTAATCAATAACAATAATCCACAGCTCCTCTCTCTGCTCCAGAGGATTTAAAATATATATATCCCAATGCCACAAAGATCACATCAGTGACGTGGTTGAAATCTTGTCTCCAGAAAACAAAAAACTGAAACAAGCGGTATCAGTGACTGTGTGTTTGATGTGGCTCTTTGCAGAAACATAGAAAAAATGTGGCTCTTAACCTCTGACTGGTTGGCCACCCCTGCTGTAGATCATGGCATTCTTATCTCTCGCCTGAAGCATTCTGTGGGAATCAGTAGTACTGCTCTAGAGTGGTTTCAGTCCTACCTCTCTGAAAGAAGTTTGAATGTGAATCTTGGTGACTTTAGCTGCTCCTCTGCTCCTCTGCCATATGGGGTACCCCAAGGTTCCATTATTGGGCCTATTTTGTTCTCCCTACTTGCTCCCCCTGGGCGCAATCATAAAAAAAATATGGCGTCTCATTTCATTTTTATGCAGATGATTCCCAAATCTTGCTGCCCCTGAAAACAAATGACCCCGATTCTATGCAACTCCTGGATGGCCTTGAACTTTTTTAATTTTAATGAAAATAAGACAGAAGTGATAGTGTTTGGACCCACTGGTGGCCAACATGCCCCATTTATGCTTGATTCTCTGGTCCCATATATAAAACCCACTGTTACAACTCTTGGTGTGCAGATTGAACGGGATTTTAAATTCGATAAACAGATTAATTCTGTTGTAAAATCCAGTTTTTTTCAGCTGCGAATGTTATCAAAGGTCAAGCCTTTCATTACATTACATGTCACTTGTTAGACGCTTTTATCCAAAGCGACTTACATACTCAATACTGTGGACAATCCCCACAGGAGCCATTTGGGGTGAAGTGTCTTGCCCAGGGACACAAGGACATGCTGACTGCAGTGGGGTTTGAACCTGTGACCCCCTGATCCAAACACCTAGGGACAACCCACTACGCCACACGCTCCTTTCTTTTAATGACTTTGAGAGGGTCATACACTGTTTTATCACAACTAAACTTGACTACTGTAATGCTCTCTATGTTGGAGTTAGCCAGGCTTCCATCTCCCGCTTACAGCTACTTCAAAATGCTGCTGCTGGCCTACTCACGAAAACACGCAAGCGCGAGCACATTACACCAGTACTGGCATCTTTACACTGGCTTCCAATAAAGTTTAGAATCGATTTTAAAATGTTATTGTTTGCCCACAAAGCCCTTAATGGTTTGGCCCCACCTTACCTGGCAGAACTCCTACACCCTACATCCTCCCGGTCACTGAGGTCTGCTGACATATTCCTCCTTGTGGTCCCGAGGTTGAAGCAGCGGGGGGGCAGGGCCTTTGCTGTAGCAGCTCCCAGGCTGTGGAACCATTTGCCCCCCCGATCAGACTTGCTCCCACTTTGCCTGTTTTTAAATCTCGTTTAAAGACCTACTTGTTCTCCCGTGCTTTTACAGACCACGTATAAGACGTATCAGTCTGTGTTTTTCTAAACTGTGGTTTTCTATTTTGTTGTGTTTTAAAATGTATGAGGGTTTTCAGTCTGTGGCTATAAGTATGGTTTTATTGTGTCCTACTTTTACATTAGTTTATTTTTCACCCTCTAAGGACAGAGGGTCTAAGGATAGAGGGTGTCGTATTATCAAACTGATATTCTGTACAAACTGTGAAGACCACTGAGACAAATGCAACATTTGTGATATTGGGCTCTATATAAAGAAACATTGATTGATTGATTGATTTTTGTCGGTTTTGTCTAAATGTATTTATGCTGCTTTTTTATATATTAATTGATGTAAAGCACTTTGGTCAACTCTGTTGTTTTTAAATGTGCTATATAAAGAAAGCTGATGGTCACTTTAATGGTTCATCTCTAATAGATGTAAACACCTGCCAACATTTGTAATCAAAATTCCTCATTTGAAATTCTCTTACTACATCATAATCTATTCAGAGTGTATGTAAACAACTGAAATGTACGAAGTGTTACTGTGCCTCATGGGAGTATCAAGAAGCTGCACAGGGTTATTCTAAGCTTTTTTGTGAGAATAGATCAAGTTTAAACTGATTTAGGACATGAGTTATTTGCATTGTTAATATCTCATGTGGTTATAATCTGCAGGTACTGGGCCGACATCGACACCCAGCTGAGGCGCGTCAGCTACGAGAAGCGGGTCAGAGTGCGCCTGCTGATCAGCTGCTGGGCCAGCACCCAGCCCATCATGTTCCCCTTCCTCAAGTCTCTGGCCTCCGTGTACGACCCCAAGAGCAGACTGGACATCCAGGTGGTGAGTCGCTCTTCCTCTTTACTGATTACTTTAATTAGACCTGCCAGGGATCAGATTGTATCTGCTACTGAGAATTAATGTTGTACATGTTTTTATTAATATTTTATAGTAAACCAATAAAGTAGTGACATTTTGTTCCCTTACCCAGAGGCTGTTTGTGGTGCCTGCCACCCCCCAGCAGAAGGAGATTCCCTTTGCCAGAGTGAACCACAACAAGTACATGGTGACGGACAAGATAGCATACATAGGTGAAGCTGCTCAAACTCTGCATGAACACAATACTTGATCTATCCTGGGGAGACTCTCTTTCGTGACAGTTGATTTGATTTAGAATCAAATGAATAACAGATAAATATGAATAAATATGTATACAAATTGAAATGTAATACAACTATTCATACAAAGTTATATTATGCGATAAAAGTTATAAAAGATATTGTATAAAGAGTGTGCAATAAAAGATACAATTAAATAGAATAAACCTTTGTATATAGAAATAAGAAGTTTGAGTAAAAATGTGCTCAATGTACCACAAAAAATGTATAATATACATGTATATTACAATATACATGTATCCCTCCTCTGTTGCTCTCCCTGAGGTTTCTCCCATTTTTCCCTTTAAACTGTGGGTTTTCTCTGGAAGTTTTTCCTTGTACGATGTGAGGGTCTAAGGACAGAGGGTCTAAGGACAGAGGGTCTAAGGATAGAGGGTCTGAGGACAGAGGGTCTGAGGACAGAGGGTCTAAGGACAGAGGGTCTGAGGACAGAGGGTCTGAGGACAGAGGGTCTGAGGACAGAGGGTCTAAGGATAGAGGGTCTGAGGACAGAGGTCAAGGACAGGGTCTAAGGACAGAGGGTCTGAGGACAGAGGGTCTGAGGACAGAGGGTCTGAGGACAGGGTCTGAGGACAGAGGGTCTAAGGACAGAGGGTCTAAGGACAGAGGGTGTCATTTTTCTCATACTGATATTCTGAACAATCTGTGCTGTTGTATTTGCTGTAAAGTGTCTCTACTGTTGGCTATTTTTATTTTATGTACAGCACTTTGGCTCCACCAAAAATCGTTTATAAATGTGCTATATAAATAAAACTTGATTTGATATACACAGTGGTGTATAAGTATTATCAACATATACATGCTGAGGGGAGGAAGGACTTCCTGTGGTGAATTTTGGGGGAATAAGTCTTTCACTGAAGCTTCTCCTGTGCCTGTCCAGCTATTAATATTAAAATGATATAATAATAATCACATCTGATTGTACACCCATAATATAAATCACCTTCCAATCAGCCATGGAGAAGTGCTGAACCTGAATCGTGTGTGTGTTTCTGCCTGCAGGTACGTCTAACTGGTCTGGGGACTACTTTGTGAGCACAGCCGGCTCAGCATTGGTCGTCAACCAAACAGCATCAGAGTCCTCTGAGACAACCGTCCAATCACAGCTGCAGGCCGTGTTTGAGAGGGACTGGGACTCCGCCTACAGCACCCCCCTCACTCAGCACTCAAACCTCAAAAACTTGTGTTAGTTTCATCAGCCAATTTCACGGATCCTTCATCAGAGGGGACTCTTCAACACATATTGCCGTGCTATAGTTGCACGTTCATGCATTTTGCTCTATTCAGCTGGAACATTTCCTCTCAGCTGAGCGGAGTTTGCTGAGGTCCAAAGGAAGATATTTCACTTCCAGAAAAGCTGCTTTATGCTTCAGTGCCAAACTTGACTGGAGCAACGTGCCGTCTACCAGTAAACTGCTCATTGGCAGTCTTATGCTACCATGGGTTGTTCAAGGGTGCCTTTTTTACATTTTAGAAAATATGTTTGCATCTCTTTACCGTTATCAGAACTGGCCTGGGATTTAGACTGCATGTGTGTGTTAAGCTTTGATGACTTTATCATTTTCAAAATCAATCAAAAGTCCTTTATTTTCTGCAACAACAGCCTCAGTGCGGGTTTTCTTTTTTCTTTATCCTAGCACACCTCAGGGAGTAAAGTGTTTCTTAATTAATCTGCACATGAACTGGAAATACGATAATTTCAGCAGTGTTCAAAATAGATACAGTTTTGCAGTGGCAGTAAATGTGGAGTATAATTTCATTTCCACTGTGTGGAGTGACTGCACCTACCAATTAGTGAAGACCTGGTTGTTATGGCAACTGTTCAAAGAAGCAGCATGCACATTAAAAAAAATACTCTGGGGCAGTCATTATCTACGTGCCATCTTCATAAAGAAATAACTTTCAATAAATGAATTTCAATCAAACGTGTTTCAGTCTGTTTATATGTATTGGTGTCTCCTATACACATATATTTCATTATTTAGGCTTCATCCCACTATTACAATAAAGATCCTATAAAGCTTAGTAAAGTGGTAGATTAGAGTCTCTGGCACTTCATTTGTTGGAAACAACAGCAGCATTTAATCAGCCCGTTTAGCCTACAAAATAAAAAGTAAAATATTTTTAAAACCTTTGATGCTCTTCTTCCTGAAGCTCATCTTATGTGAAGTCAAGAATGTAAATAAGTCATTATACAATACAAGAATACACGTTACAGCCGTGTGAGGTATGAGATATTTGATTAAATAAAAGGTAGCATCAAAAAGCAAAGTCTTCAGCCTGAATTTGAAAGATATGAGAGTTGAATAGATATAACTATAACTTAGGTATATGGAGCATAATAACTTACTTAAATGGAAACACATGTGCAACTCATCTTACTGACTGTGTTGCTATTATTATTATTATTATTTATTTATTTATTATTATTATTATAAAATATGTATATTTTGTACATGATATAGTGTATTATATTGTAGTATATTATAGTATAGTATAGTAGGCATACAGTATATTATATTATGTTATGATGACCGTTGGGGCAGCTGGCCTGTCTCGGGCCGCCTGCTGGGATGTTCTTCCCAGACAAAGGGCTCTGTGTCTCCATACATTCCTCCAGCTGAGAGGAGGAGCGTTCACAGCACCGGGAGGCACCGGCGGCTGTCACAGACAGCAGTTAGGCGGGCATGGCGGCACACCGCCCCGCATGTCCCCGCAGGACCAGACGGTCTGTTACCGGACCTCGTTTAGTTGTTAACAGATAAAGTTTAATAATGCCATATGTGTGTGTTGAGTGTTCCTGCGCGGAGAGGCTGCCGGTGTGCAAAGCGGGACTTTCTGAGGCTGAAAGTTAACGCAGAGCTCCAAACCAGGGCGGAATGAAGGTATGAGAACATAAATCCAAAAGGGATTACATTGTTTTTGTTTTTCTGTTAAGAATATTGTTGCACTTTAACGTAGTTCTTTGTACTGGGTTTGCGCGCCAACGTGTCCTACTTTACCATATATGGCATTGAACGTACTGTTGACCCTGCGCTATTAGTAGACACACAGCATATGGCTCAGAGTGAGAGAGAGCTAACGGTCAACTGACACGTGGTTACATTACTCAACATTAGATTACATTACATGTTACCGGACACTTTTATCCAAAGCGTTTTACCCACGCAGCAACTATTTGGCATTAAGTATTTCCCCTGCATGTTGACTGTGGGCTGGGATCGAACCGGCGACCCTCGGGTTGGTAGACCCTGTGCCAGTCAGCCATCAAGTTAGTTAAAAATCGAAGTTTAGTTCACTTGTTGCGCCCTGCTGTTTCACTGTGAGGAGAAATATACAAATAATTCACTCAGAATTTGTGTTTTTGAAACAATGTCAGTCGGTTTGCACTTTGCAGTGGTGGAATGTAACTAAGTAAATGTACTCAAGTATCTGTTATTTCAGGAACATTCAAGGTATTCAATTGAGTAAAACCACACTTTACTTTTCATTTAGTTTCCATGTGTGGTACATTTCAATACAGTTATTTTACAGCTTTAGTTACTTTTCTGCAAATGCATGTTATAAATACAAAATGCAATTCAAATATTTTAGGATTGATAGGTTACATTTCCCATAGGCTACATTGTAATGAATCCTCCACCTTTACCAGCTGCAAGTTATGAACACGATGTTTCAATAGAAATATACAATCACTCAAACTACATAATAAATATAAATGTTTTGACTTCAACGTCTCAGTTTTTCAGTGTATCATACTTTTACTTGAGTACGATTTTGAATGTAAGACTTTTTCTTTTCACATATATTCATGTTTGCACTACTATTGCTTCTTTTACCCCCGCTTCTGATTGTTTTTCATCTTTAAACCGTTGTCTCTGTTTCAGATGAAGCCATGCTGATGTCCTCGGCCCTCAGCTGCTGTGCTCACTCACACCCGGCTGGTTGAGGTAAGTTGACTCAAATGCTGCGACTTTATGCAATATGCAGTCGGGAGGGTTTCTTCAAAAGTGTGTATCGTTACAATGACTTATTACCTGTGCAAAATTGTAATCAGTAAATGTACTTAATCTAATATCACACTATTAAGTCATCTAAAGTCATCTCAACCTGAGAACTCTCCATATACTTTGTATCAACTCAATATCAAATATGCAAAAACAGACTAGAGAAAATAAACATCAATAACTTGGATTTAAGGAAGTGTATGATGTAAGACAACAGAACAATGTCTCCTTGGAAATTAAAACATATTTTGTGTCAAAATGTGTCCTCTGCTCAGCATTTATTTAGTTAAGTCTTTATGTTAAAGTCACGTTTAAAAAAGCCAATGTAAAGAGAGGAACCTTCACTAACACCATTTCTCCTACTGCTAAAAACATATTTTAACATAAAAAGAATTGAATTTTAATTCCTGCCCTTCTAATTATACTGTACGTTCCTGTGGGAGGTCACTTGCCACGTTGCAGTTGCAGATTTCTAACACTGAGCTGCAGTAGCGGTGCAGGTTTGAACAGTCATGAGTGTCAAGCCCTCCACATTTCATATTGTCACTCTTCATTCTTCAATGGTTAAGAAATTAGAGTCTGGAAGAATAGTTTTCAAAATGTGATCTTGCTTGAATCAAAAGTTTAAATATGTCATCATCAGTGTGTCTCCTTTGTGTGGGGAGGATAAGATGAGAGTGAGGCTGGTTCTAAGAATCATCAGAGGAGCCGTGCTGTGTCGCTCACATCTCTGATAAACCAAACTCAGTTATTACAGGGGAATTAAATGCTTTCCATTTCTGTTTTTGTACAGGTAGTTAATAAATCCTGTTTTTACTACCTCTAATTTCTTACAATGTATTCAGTTCAATCACAGTTCAGTCCGCTGGATCTGTCTGTTTCTGGGTGTGTCTGCATGAGAGAACCAAACACCCTGTCTCTGCTGACCCAGAGACGTGCAATTCATTAACCCAGAGCCAGCTGCATAATGTTGTAAAGTACATATACATCTATGATCAGACTCAAATCACACACACTCTCTCTCTCTTCTTCACTTCCCAGTGTTCTGCATTATTCAGTTTGTCCTCAGTGGTATGTCCAACATGTCACTTCCCAGTATGTACACTGTTCAGTGTCATCAGGGGTCTTGTAACGCAGCAGAGCCCCACCCTGAAGGTTATTTCTGTCCCCTGCTAACCATCCAGCCCCCACCAGCCCAGTGTGTGTGTGTGTGTGTGTGTGTGTGTGTGTGTGTGTGTGTGTGTGTGTGTGTGTGTGTGTGTGTGTGTGTGTGTACAAACTACTCATTCACTGCAGTATTGTGACAGGTATCTGTTTGTGTCACTCTTCATCAGATGTTCCAGCTCCACACAATGCTGCAGGAAGGACCAAAGTACATTCAGCAGGTGCTGTGTGTGTTTGAATACAACTCCTGTGATACACTGACAGAATATTGAGTGAAAACCTTAGTTGAACTTCCTCAGAACAAAGTGTTTCCTCTGTGATACATTGAGACGATGTGAATTCGGTTTCTTTATTTCTAAAAAGAAATACAAGTAACTTGAGTTAAACATGATATCACATGGTGTAGGGTTGTGTGTGTAGAAGAGGAGACACACTTGCACTTTAATTACCATGGTGTCCTGTCAGTGGACAGATGTGGTGACGAGGGTGCAGACAGTGAAGGTGGAGTCCTGTCCTGGAACATGGCTGATCTCCTGCCTGCTCTCTCAGGACTCCACTACACAGGAACTCTGGAGGGATGTTTGGGGCTTTTTTTCGATTTGAGGAACAACCAGAGCTATTAGTTATCTAAAGTGTGCTGTATCTCACACATATATCTTAGCCTGCACACTAGGGCTGCTCGATTATGGCAAAAATCATAATCTCGATTATTTGGGTCAATAATTGATATCACGATTATTAAAAACGACTATCCATTTACTTTGAAAACATCAATTTATTGAAGAAGAAAAATGTGAACAGTATGTTTTTAACAGTTGATTACCCTGAACTTTAAGTATAACTCAACTGAAAGTCCAATAATTTTTTTTTTTTTAAATCGTTTTATTTCGATTACGTTGTTTTCGTAATCGTTGCAAGCCATAATCGTAATTGCGATTAAAATACGATTAATTGAGCAGCCCTACCACACACACACACACACACACACACACACACACACACACACACACACACACACACACACACACACACACACACACACACACACACACACACACACACACACACACACACACACACTCAATGGTATGTCCAACATGTCACTTCCCAGTATGTACACTTTTCAGTGTCATCAGGGGTCTTGTAACGCAGCAGAGCCCCACCCTGGAGGTTATTTCTGTCCCCTGCTAACCATCCAGCCCCCACTAGGGTGTGTGTGTGTGTGTGTGTGTGTGTGCGTGTGTGTGCATGCGTGTTAGGGCTGCACGATTTTGGGAAAAAATATAATTGCGATTTTTCTGACAAATATTGCGATTGCGATTCAAATTGCGATATTTGTTTTTAAGCGACCCAACGGAAGTTTATTGTAAAAATTCGACCATATCTCCGGCTAGGAAGGTCGCATCAACGTGCTCCAGTCTCTAGCACGAGCTACGAGTGAAAAAACTAAACTTACATGAAACTTCCGTTGGGTTGCTTTAAAGTCAAGCTTCAGTTTAAGATTCACCCTGTAATAGAAACATGTGATGGAGCATTACTAACCTGACTCAGAAACCATCTAGGAAAGGACCAACATCCGGTTTCACTATGAGTGGTCGCATTTTCGAGAGCTCCCGCTTTGGCGGTTATTCCTCACGATTTTTTACATATTTCATCCTCCTGACAATATGGATTATGGACTCCTACCTCAACTCATCAATGAGGCAACATCACTTAGAGAAGGAGAGTAATGAAAGCGGGGATAAAATGAACCACAATGACTTTTACCTTCTCAATGGCTGGGAAAGGAAACACCTCGCTTTTGGAAGTGCAAGCATTCATGCATTATTAACTGCAAACCCGACGCGAAAGTACTTACCCCCGTCAGGCAAACTAGACCGAAGAAGTATGATCGTCTTGGTCTTATTGTTAGCGGGAGACATCCATCTGAATCCGGGCCCGGTGCAGACAAGAAGCCAGTCCTGCAGGCTCGAGGAGCTAGCATCACAACTAGCATCACAACTAGCATCTCTTCCGCTGCAGCAACAACTACGCGACGACAACAGAGACCGTGGAGACAGCGGAGACCAAGGAATAAACGGAGACTTCGAGATTCCCCCGGGGACGCCTCGGCAGACAGACACGCATGAGGCAGTGACGAGAGGAAGAGAACCGAGATCCGAGGGAACAAATATCCGCCATGTTGTTAGCCATGTTGTTAGCCACCCTGCTAGCATATCAACGGCTAAAGCTACAACGGAGCCTCCCTCCCCCCACCACCACCCCCACACCACCACCACACCACGACAAGCCGGTTGCTGTAACGGACAAAGACAAATATCTGCAAGCTGACGACATTGTGCATTTAAGCAACAAAAATGGACTACATATTTTTCATCTGAACACTAACAGCCTGAGACACAAACTGGCTGAACTCAGGCAGCTATTCATGAACGGTAAGGCAAGCATATTATGCTTTTCTGAGACCAAATTGGACAATTCCATTACAGATTCAGAGATTGAAATTGAAGATTATCTTGTAGTGAGAAGGGACAGGAACGTGAATGGAGGTGGTGTCTGCATGTACATACATAAAGACACCAATTTCAAAAACCGTACTGACCTGCATCATGAAAATATTGAATCTGTGTGGGTTGAAATTCTTTTTGACAATGCTAAATCTGTAATAGTCGGGACAATCTATAGACCACCGGAACAGAGTGACTTTTATGATACATTAGATGGGTGTTTGGCTGATGTGGGGGATGTAGAGACAATTATTATTGGAGACTGGAACACGGATATGCAACGTAAAGACACGTCCGTCTTCAAGTCCTTCAGTAGGATTTGTGTTCTGCACGGCTTCAGCCAGCTAATCACCCAACCCACCCGGGTATGTGAAACAACACAAACTACCATTGATCTCATTCTGACCTCTGACAAGTCCAGGATCTCCAGTAAAGGGGTTATAGCATGCGGGTTAAGTGATCATTATATGATATTCTGTACCCGCAAAAAGCTAAAACAAAGGGCCGGCTGTCACAAAACAGTCATATGTAGAGACCTCAAAAACTACTCTAGCGAGGCCTTTAACCTAGAACTGGAGAGCCTGGACTGGTCAGATGAGCTCAGTGGTACACAAGTTGAAGAAACATGGCTTGGTTTCAAAAACAAATTCTCTGCAATACTCAATGATTTGGCCCCCCTAAGAACAACCAGGGTAAAAAATCGCGCTGAGCCGTGGATGCACTCCGGCATACTGACCGCTAGGGCTGTGCGATTATGGCAAAGATCATAATCACGATTATTTGGGTCAATAATTGATATCACGATTATTTTGACGATTATTCATTGACCATTTATTGAACTTTAAAACAAATAATATTTTACCAATAAACAAGATCAACAAATATGTTGGAGCGCACTTCCAAAACCATACTAAACATATATTATTAATATGATAAATAAAAATAAATTAGACCAAAATAAATGAAATCAAACATGTTGCAGTGCACTGTCACAACCTACTGAAAACTCCTTAACATATAGCCAACATTTTGGTTCAACATATTCAACATATTCCACTCAGTTAAACGTTGAAGGCTGGCCAACCGTCATGGTCCAGAAGTAACAGGAAATAAATGTTGAACTACAATTTAAGACCAAATAAAAATGTTTTGGCCACCATGGCAAATGCTGGTAGGGCTGCTCGTGTCATCTCTTAAAGATGTTTTGCAAGAAACAACAGCCTGTTTACATGGTCTGGTTTCAGAGATGAGCGCAGGCAGGTGACAATATTGCCACCTGTACTGAAGACCCTCAGCCACGCCCCGACACATGGGGTGACGCCGGCCAATCACAAAGCTTTGATGCGTTCAAGTGCATTATTCTGGCACAGGAAGATTATGTTACAGGACATTAACGATAAAACAGAATATTGTTGTTCTATTTTTAGACACATCTAGCGATCGACTGGTTGGGCACCCCTGGGCTAGACCATAGGTCCGTTGTGGTGGCAAAGTAGTCAGCTGAAGCCACATCTCTCTCAACTTCCCCACGGCATTTGTCACATAATACCGAATGAAATAATACCGAGACGGCATCGCGTAACGCTTGTCCAACGTGTTGACAAGTTGCTTAAAGCCCTCGTTGCTAACAGTGCTAACTGGGCACATATCTTTAGCGATGTGAAATGTAATGGCACCTGTAATATCTCTGTGTCTCTGCGAGCTCGTCGCGTAGGCCGTTGCTCTGTACAATGCGTCCTGAATCGATGACTGTGATGATGTTGTGGATGAAGTCGAGCGGCATCTGCTTTTTGGTCTGCTTTTTGTTGTATTATTGCCCGGTCGTATTGCACTTTGTGGTTGTATTTCAGATGATTAAAGAGATTGGTTGTGTTAGCGTGTGGTGCCAACACAACCTGGTAACAAATCCTGCACTGTACTTTATTTTGCTCCACGTCGGACTCCTGAAAGCCAAAGTACTTCCAAATAGTGGAAATAGTTGTACCCTTCTTTTTAACGAGTTGCTGCTCTTGTTCTGACATCTGCGCTTGCGCTGAACATTCACAACACATATCACTCCCACGTGGCCGAGTGGGCTTTTAGGGAGGGGTGAAGCGCACCCAGCAAAATAATCGTATTTTGTCAATTATGCTGTTTTCCTAATCGTCGCAAGCCATAATCGTAATCGCGATTAAAATACGATTAATTGCACAGCCCTACTGACTGCCATGAAAACCAGAGACAAAAAATGCTCTGAGTTTCATAAAAGTCAGTCAATGCTTTCCAAAAGCACGAGCAGTGAACTCCAGGCCCACGCGACTGAACTCAAAATTGAAAGAAACAGACTAAGAAATGACGTAAGCTCCATGATCAAAACTGCCAAAAAGAATTTCATCAATGTCAAAACTGAGGAAAACAAAAATAAACCCCGTGAACTTTGGAAATTACTCAATAACCAGCTTGGCTGCAGTAAAAAACTCAAAACGAGATTTTCTAACTTAAACATAAAGACAGATAACAGGCTCATCACAGACAAACTGGATGTGGCCAAGTACTTGAACATTTTTTTCACAAACATAGCCACAACTCTTGTAAATAAATTACCCTCCCACTCAGGGCTTTTTGGAGTAGATCACATCATGACCTACTACAAAAACCTAGGGGTACGCAAAGATGATTTCAGTCTAGCAAGGGTAACAACAGCAGAGGTACTCATTAAACTGAGCGCCCTCCAACCTAACAAGGCCACGACAATATCCCCTCCAAATTCCTCAGAGACACAGCAACCGCCATCTCACCAGTCATAGCTCACATAATTAACCTCTCCATAAAACAGGGAAAAGTACCCAAAGACTTCAAAATTGCAAGAGTAACCCCCCTGCACAAAAAGGGCAGCAAATTGGACCCAGGCAACTACCGCCCTGTTTCTATACTTACCTCCATCTCGAAAGTCATGGAAAAAATAGTATATGAACAGGTCGAAAAGTACCTCGCGGAAAATAAACTAATCTATGAATTTCAATCTGGCTTTAGAACATCCCACTCCACTGACACATGCCTTCTTTATTTGAGCGACCACATCAAACAAGAGGTGGACGAGGGCAAGTACTGCGGCATGGTGATGCTGGACCTACAAAAGGCTTTCGACACTGTCAATCACCCCATTCTGGTTGACAAGCTAAAAGCCATTGGTTTTGATAAACTATCGGTGAGCTGGATGCAATCCTACCTGGAGGGGAGAGAACAGATGGTGGAGGTAAACGGTACTCTGTCCCCCCCCCCTCCCAGTGAGCTGTGGTGTTCCACAAGGAAGCATATTAGGTCCGTTACTGTTCCTAATTTATGTAAATGACATGTCATCAGCATGTGACTGCAACTTGTTCCTGTTCGCGGACGACTCAGCCCTGCTGGTCTCTGACAGGAGCAGGTTGCAGGTTGAAAAAACCCTCAGCTCCGAGCTCGGCAGAATCTGCACCTGGCTCGCCGATAATAAATTATCATTACACCTGGGTAAAACAGAGTCCATTCTCTTCGGTTCGAAACATAATCTCAGCAAATCCGACGACTTCTCAGTTGCAGTGGGCGACATTATTGTCACAAGTAAGAAGGAAATTACATACCTAGGATCTATTCTTGAGGCAAACCTCTCCTGTGACAAAATGGCATCCAATGTAATAAAAAAAGTCAATCAAAGAACTAGATTCCTATATCGGATCTCCTCTCTGGTAAACAAAAACACCCTGAAAACTCTGGCAGGAGCACTCATTCAAGGGTACTATGACTATGCTTGCACGTCATGGTACCATAGCACCTCCAAGGCGCTAAAAATAAAACTTCAAACATCGCAAAATAAACTGGTCAGACTACTGCTTGACCTTTCATCTAGAACCCACCTCACCTCTGCCCACTTTGACAACCTAGGATGGCTTAGAGTAGACGACAGAGTACAGCTACTTGCAATGGGCCTGGTCTACAAGATCCACTACACCTCTATGGTACCCATGTACATGTCAAAATTCTTCCCAAAGGTCAAGGAATACCATGATCATAACACCAGAGGGAGCTCCACAAATCATGTGAAACCCAGATTTGGCACAAAAAAGGGGGAATACACGTTTCGCAATTATGCCACATCAAGGTGGAACGCTCTTCTCACAACTGTAAAGGAAAGTAAAACTATACTTACCTTCAAAACCTCTCTTAAAGAGCACCTTCGGGGGAGAGCATTGCAAAACTGGCCCCGGTAATGGTATAAATCTCAACCTGTCGTTCAATGGACAGCTTCCCCCCCCCCCCCCCCCATCTATGTATATACTCGCATTTTAGACTCTGTTACTAACTGTATATCTGTAGACTTGGTATGTCTTAAATGTCCGGTTAGGATGTATTAGAACGAAATCTAAAATGAAAATTGTAAACAAGCAATCTGTATGTAAAAAACCACCTGTATGTAAATTGTAAATAAGCCATCTGTATGTCAAATATGTCTTATATGTCTTAAATGACATGATGAATTGGAAATGGGGGACCCTGATGTAAACAAGACGAAAGTCTTTCTCTGGTCTGCATCCCCTTAACAATTGTATGTTTTGAGCTGTACTGTACTGTACCCAATATACAAGCTGTTAATAAACTTTTCAATCAATCAATCAATCAATCAAAAGCTCCATTGGAAGCCATTTGGAAAGGGAGGCACTTTCAAAAGCACTTGGCAGGTGATTGGATCAATCTGTCTATCACCTTCTATCATGGGCCACTTCTGATTGATTAACAATGGCTGGTACATGTGGAGCACAGCACTTCTGATTGGTGTGGATGACTGACACACAATAAAAAAAAAAAGATTATATATAAAAAAAATCGCAGGCTTTGCGATTTGATAATCGCATCATTTAAAATCGCGATTTCGATTTAAAATCGATTAATCGTTCAGCCCTAGTGCGTGTGCAAACTATTCTCATTTTCTATGCAGTACTGTGACAGATTATCTCTCTCTTCATCAGATGTTCCAGCTCTCCACATTTCTTCAGGAAGATCCATAGAACACTCAGCAGGTGTGTGTGTGTGTGTGTGTGTGTGTGTGTGTGTGTGTGTGTGTGTGTGTGTGTGTGTGTGTGTGTGTGTGTGTGTGTGTGTGTGTGTGTGTGTGTGTGTGTGTGTGTGTCCTCGTCTCAACATGTTTTCTATGATACATTAAACCTGAGTCGATGTGAATTTGATTTTCAAAGTTTTAAATAATAGAGGGATGGACATGATGAAATACTGTCAGAAACATAGTAAGAACAGATGCACTGAGTGAACAAGCAACAAAACAAGCAGCTCTTGAAATATCACATTTAAAGAAAGCAACTACAAACAATACAGATGAATGAAGAATGTCGGGTATCATCTGCATAACACAAGAGATAAGGTGAAAAATGGCGGACGATTAAATATATTAAAAACATAATGAAGAAGAGAAACTCACACTGACGGCGTCTCCCTTAGCGTTTTTCTTTATTATTAAAACAATTAATGAAATACAACATGACTTAAACGTGAAAACATGGTGTAGGGTTGTGTGTGTAGAAGAGGAGACACACTTGCACTTTAATTACCATGGTGTCCTGTCAGTGGACAGATGTGGTGACGAGGGTGCAGACAGTGAAGGTGGAGTCCTGTCCTGGAACATGGCTGATCTCCTGCCTGCTCTCTCAGGACTCCACTACACAGGAACTCTGCAATAGGATCTAATGATGGATATGTGACTTTGCATCACTTCCCGATAAGGCCAATCTATACTGGAGAGTAACAGCTCTTATCACTGGGGATAATAATAACACTATTCTGTTTGGCACGTTGTGAAAAGTCCCTTTAGGTGGCTTTTCAGTTCAATTTAACAAGTTGATTTAATGGCCACAAGGGGGCGCTGTTTGATCCACAGTCAAAGCTTAGGGCTTGTTCTTATTCTTCAAAATTAATTTCTATTTGATATTGTTTAGATATCCTACTATTTAACAAATACAAAAATGAAAAACCTATTCATAGTAAATGTTTAATTATGATAACAGCTGTGCAGTGATCTGGATGATATTTGGTGTGTGTGTGTGTGTGTGTGTGTGTGTGTGTGTGTGTGTGTGTGTGTGTGTACAAACTACTCATTCACTGCAGTATTGTGACAGGTATCTGTTTGTGTCACTCTTCATCAGAAGTTCCAGCTCCACACAATGCTGCAGGAAGGACCAAAGTACATTCAGCAGGTGCTGTGTGTGTTTGAATACAACTCCTGTGATACACTGACAGAATATTGAGTGAAAACCTTAGTTGAACTTCCTCAGAACAAAGTGTTTCCTCTGTGATACATTGAGACGATGTGAATTCGGTTTCTTTATTTCTAAAAAGAAATACAAGTAACTTGAGTTAAACATGATATCACATGGTGTAGGGTTGTGTGTGTAGAAGAGGAGACACACTTGCACTTTAATTACCATGGTGTCCTGTCAGTGGACAGATGTGGTGACGAGGGTGCAGACAGTGAAGGTGGAGTCCTGTCCTGGAACATGGCTGATCTCCTGCCTGCTCTCTCAGGACTCCACTACACAGGAACTCTGGAGGGATGTTTGGGGCTTTTTTTCGATTTGAGGAACAACCAGAGCTATTAGTTATCTAAAGTGTGCTGTATCTCACACATATATCTTAGCCTGCACACTAGGGCTGCTCGATTATGGCAAAAATCATAATCTCGATTATTTGGGTCAATAATTGATATCACGATTATTAAAAACGACTATCCATTTACTTTGAAAACATCAATTTATTGGAGAAGAAAAATGTGAACAGTATGTTTTTAACAGTTGATTACCCTGAACTTTAAGTATAACTCAACTGAAAGTCCAATAAAAAAAAGTAATAATTAAAAATAATCGTTTTATTTCGATTACGTTGTTTTCGTAATCGTTGCAAGCCATAATAGTAATTGCGATTCAAATACGATTAATTGAGCAGCCCTACCACACACACACACACACGTCCAACATGTCACTTCCCAGTATGTACACTTTTCAGTGTCATCAGGGGTCTTGTAACGCAGCAGAGCCCCACCCTGGAGGTTATTTCTGTCCCCTGCTAACCATCCAGCCCCCACCAGCCCAGTGTGTGTGTGTAAACTATTCTCATTTTCTATGCAGTACTGTGACAGATTATCTCTCTCTTCATCAGATATTCCAGCTCTCCACATTTCTTCAGGAAGGTCCATAGAACACTCAGCAGGTGTGTGTGTGTGTGTGTGTGTCCTCAGATCAACATGTTTTCTATGATACATTAAACCTGAGTCGATGTGAATTTGATTTTCAAAGTTTTAAATAATAGAGGGATGGACATGATGAAATACTGTCAGAAACATAGTAAGAACAGATGCACTGAGTGAACAAGCAACAAAACAAGCAGCTCTTGAAATATCACATTTAAAGAAAGCAACTACAAACAATACAGATGAATGAAGAGTGTCGGGTATCATCTGCATAACACAAGAGATAAGGTGAAAAATGGCCGACGATTAAATATATTAAAAACATAATGAAGAAGAGAAACTCACACTGACGGTGTCTCCCTTAGCGTTTTTCTTTATTATTAAAACAATTAATGAAATACAACATGACTTAAACGTGAAAACATGGTGTAGGGTTGTGTGTGTAGAAGAGGAGACACACTTGCACTTTAATTACCATGGTGTCCTGTCAGTGGACAGATGTGGTGACGAGGGTGCAGACAGTGAAGGTGGAGTCCTGTCCTGGAACATGGCTGATCTCCTGCCTGCTCTCTCAGGACTCCACTACACAGGAACTCTGCAATAGGATCTAATGATGGATATGTGACTTTGCATCACTTCCCGATAAGGCCAATCTATACTGGAGAGTAACAGCTCTTATCACTGGGGATAATAATAACACTATTCTGTTTGGCACGTTGTGAAAAGTCCCTTTAGCTGGCTTTATTTTGTAATGGCTCATTATACAGGACCATGACACATTGAACAGCTTACATGTGAATTCTAAGTTCTTAAACACGTGCTAAAATGATCACACCCTTGTCAGACCTGCAGTTACAATTAATTCAAAAATCATTATAAAGATATTATTTGACAATACCAAAAATAATGTATAAAACTCAAAGAACTGTTCGTAACTACAGTGAAGTAATAATACTCAAATGAAGATGGCCCTAGGCAATGCCCAGATCTGACCCTGAATCAACTCTTTTACAGAGCCACTGTGATAGTGATGGTCTTGATTCTAACTAAAGGACTCTCTCCCACAGGCAGGATCAGCGTTGGACAAACGGCACAGCAGCCAGAGAAAACTGAAGAACGACTGCAAATCAAACTGGATTTACTTCATGTGTTTTGTATAATATGTGTTCATATTGTATAAAACTAAAGCAGGTTGCTTTAAGCATTCATGTTGCCTTCTATTATTATTGATATGGAAAATAATCAAAATGGGGCCAAATGTCTAGATGAGTCACTTTGTGTCCTTAGGTTCTACAGCATGACTTCAAAATAAAGTAAATCAGATGTTCTAGCTTATCCCCTCTTACTTCTGAATATTATCAACCAATTTAGATCATTTTTCAATTCTATCCTATTTAATCAGTTTAATGGGCCGTTAATGGCTCTGAAGGGCAGATGCCAACCTGTTTCTCTGGGTCTCCAGTTGTACTTGTTTAAATATTTGACTCATACAACAATGATATGTTTTCATAAAATGGCCTCTATGACAACGCTTTCTTATAAAACTTGCACACATTTCAATTTGTGATGCTAGCCTAAACATTCAAAAACCTTTGATCTGTTCTCTGAGTGATCCTGTAGAGAACCTTTCAGGGCAATCCATCCAAAAGTTGTTTAGACATTTCAATAATAACCACATTGCTTTAGTTCATCATGGTGGTACTAAAGAACACTTCAGAGGGATACATGCTCTGGGAAATGTCAGTGTATAATAATAATACATTTGATTTAAAGCGCCTTTCATGACACCCAAGGACACCATACAATTTGTTAAATATTCTAAGAGGTAAAAGCAACAGAACATGATAAAAACACAAACATACCATCATGGAGAGGACAATTAAAGTGGACACATGATTGGGAAACGGTATTCAGGGGAGACAGATGATAGGGAGCACTACAGAGAGTAGGCTGATCTGAACAGGTGGGTTTTGAGGAGGGACTAAGTTATAATAACTATAATTGGGATTATTCAGATGGACCAAAGTGGTGGCACTGCCAACCCCAGAGTCATGTCGTGCATGGTGGAACAGGAAGGACAGAAGAAAGAAACAAGGGAAATAAAATATGAATAAAGATTTAGACTGCGATATATTAAATCAAGTTAATTTCTACAAATAATTAACTGATATAACTATTTAAATAAATCATAACTGTCCACCTCTGTAGTTAATCAGACATTTTAGGCTGGTTATAATTGTGGACACTTACAGTATGGAAGCTCGAATTCAAGAATTTAAAGTTGAGGATTGCAAAAGGTCATTTTGGGCGTAGTATTCCTTTAAACTTCTAGTAGATTTCCATACCATACAAATGATGTGGATACCAATGAAAATCTTATAGCCTATGGATCAAAAAAACATTTGAGCTTCTAAACCTATAGTCTAGCTATCAATGAGAGTTGACTAAAGCTTGCGCTGCCGTCTGTCATTGCCCTGAAACAAACGTTCATATGCTTTGGTTTGATAGCTGTCGCTTCCCTCTGCTGGACCTTCTGACAGTTGTATCTTCAGAGAAATTATGATTCATGGCTCAGAACTAATTATTGGTCTGTCTGAACGGTGGCAAAGTAGAGAAGTGCTGTCGCTAACATTTTTAATCTTGAAGGTCTGAGCTGTGAGTGGGCAAGAAACCTGTGTGATCCTTGTCGTAGCAACTTAAAATCAGCTGCTGTCTTGAGTAAAAGATGAGTTAGGCAAATATGCAAAGAAACACAATATCGATATAAAGTATTTTTGAGATCTTCGTTTTAATGCTTGCAAGTGTGGCGGGGTGGTCGTTTTTAAAGGCAGAGCCACCCAAATACCAAAATGCCTGACAACGCCACCTGGGGAGTTTCGCCCCAGGAGACATTTCATTTACACCTCAGAACTAAGAAGGCTCTACAAGTTCGTGACTGACGCATACAAGACAGAGACGTGGTTCAATAATGAAAAAGTTTAACAGTTTATTTCAATATGTCACACGTGTATTTGTTTATTCTTGGTAAAAACACTATATAGAAAATTACTAAAATCAATGAGGGGAAAAGGGGAGTGGGCAGATCAGACCCGGCGCCAGAACAAATCTAAAGGGAGGGCATATGATTTTCATGGGAGGGCACACAAAACCGTCACGTGCTGCGGGCCTGCGGCACAATATATATCAAACAGCAAGGCCAACAGCATTGCGTAAAGACGCACACTTATCGCAAATACATACACAAATAAAGGGCAACATAGCAACCACTTTGAAACATTGTGTGCGTGGCAGCACAGACACTGGTAAATCACGAGCAAGGCACAATGGTTACGGATGGCAGCTTCCTCATCGCTGCACTCGGAGATAAATAGTAGAGACGGAGACGATGAACTGTTTAGCCCGCCTTGGGCATGGTTTATGTTCTATGCACTACACTCGGACATGCTGCGGAGTGCATCGAGTCACCTCTGAGAGGGAGTTGGTTGACAGCTAAAAAAGCTATAATATCAACGACAGCTGACACGTAATAACGGCTCCGTCCCAGATAGCAATTACCTTTGGGCCGGATCCGCACGAAAGCCTTTAGATCCGTTTGTAGCTCACACACGTTTTTTGACTGTGGGCCAGATCCAACCACATAGAGCTTTCAGCCTAAACATTCCATTTGCAAGCAGTGCAGTATTTTTGCTGGTTTACAGATTTGGCCCAGATCCGTAATACGTATTTGAGCCGCAAGCGCCAGAAATCATTGGAATGGAACAAATCAAAAATAATATGGGGGTGTAACGTCTTCATATATTTCTTTGATTATTGAATTGAAACATTAAAATAAAATAAAATATAACATTGAAAACTAAAAACTTAACACAAAAATAGTCTCCTACAGTAATGTGGCATTGTACGATTGAATTAAATATTAAACGATAGATTAATATGTTTTCATTACGCTAATGCCCACTATCCATAATCCACATTTTCAGGATCAAGGAATCCAATGGTGCCAACGATAATGAGGTAGAACTCACTAAATTGCATGTTAACATAACTTTTATTGAGGACTTAACAGATAATTGACAATAACTGATTAAACTGAGTTTAAAATTGTGAACTTCAGTATCATCATGACATGCACATTTTGTGACCACAGAAAATAAGCAACCTTCTTAATTAGACATCTAAATGTATACACATCTATGCATCATCATCACTATCATCATCAACACTTTCATCCATCACGGCATGGGAATCATCGTCGTTCTGGCACTGGGTACTGCAATGACACATATCAGTACAGGCTAAGTCATTAGCTCTGCACGAACATCTTCCAGAAGAACAATTAGATTTACATCTGCATTGGACCATCTCAACGATGGCCTTTGGGGCTGGGAGGACCTCTGTGGTTGTTGGTTTCATGCCATCCGAGTCTCTGAAGTACCCATTGTGCAGGGGGTCCAGCTGCGGATCCTGAAGAGCAATGGCTGCCTGTGCCCATACCCTGGTTTGGACATGGACCCTCAAAATATGCTGCTTCAGCGCTCCAAGTGTTGGAGGGAGCTTGTCACTCTCTGCCCTGTGTTTGCAGAAGAGATGCCATTGTAGTTCAGGGATTGTCTTTATGTTGATACCCTTGGGTGAGTAGGCTGCACATACAAAGGAAGCCAGAGTGGACAGCATTCCTTCTGCCACTTCTGCTTCATCCAAAAGCATCTGCAGAGCATTGATAATATCTTCGTCTGCTTTTAAATAGATCTGCAGCCAGGTTGCCTTGCCTATGCGGGATAATCTGCCTGTGTTGTCGGCCCCAGTGAATGCATGGAAAGCTGGCAATGCCTTTGCTCTTTCTTTACCTAGAGCTCACCACAGTGGTTCAATCTGCACAACACCAGAGGCCATCGAAATCGATGTGTTCTTCAGCAAGAGATCATAGTTTGCTGTGACTAGCACTAGAATGTCTGTATCTGGTGAGAAGAACATCAACTGTGCATCAGCTGGGTTTCGGTGTGATGCCAGCACAGCCTGGTGGATCAGCAGCGTGTCTGCTTCTTCGTGGTTATTTTCTTCAAAGAGCAGGTCTTTGTTGCTCCTGGTGTTCCCAGAAGCTGACGTGATGATCAGCTTGAAGGATCCCCTGTTGTATTCTAGAATTTTGGCTGCAAGATAATCAGTCAGATCGGCCTTCGTCTGGTCATGAGAGAGGAACCTGCTCAGTGGGATGTGTTTGATGTTGGTGTCATCTCTGACTTGGTACTGGATAGCTTTTCCTTGTCTTCGTTTATCTCTGGTTGCACTCTTCAGAGAATCTGTCCTGTATGTGTCGAACACAAGGATGATTTCATCATAGTCTCTTGTTAGTGACATCAGTCGGTCATTGAAGCAGCCACTCAGATCCTTGACTGTCACTACAGTGGCTGGTTTTTTGCTCAGCCTCTGCACAAGCACCATGCCGTCCACCAGTGCTATCTTTCGACTTGGCTGATCAGTAGATGTGGTGTCTATGAATCCTGTATCCATTGCATCTTGGTGGGTAGTACTTCCAGTTTGAGGCAGCTGATGGTCTTCATGGGGCACATCTTCTCTTGTCAGCTTCTCAAGGAGACTGATTAACTTGGACTTGTCATGGCATGGCAGGATTGTTCCATTAGAAGCAAACAGTGCCCTTGGTGTTAGAGTAAATTCATAGTTTCCTATGGCCTCTTTCTGGTTTATGTCTCGGTTTGACCTGGCAAGTATCATCAGCCTTGCAAACAGGTCCTTGGTCTCCTTCAGATCCACAGTATTGTCTCTGAGTTTCACTGTAATCTTCTTGTTCCCAGACAGGAACATCTTATTGTTCACTTTCTTCACAGGGGCCCAGAGGCTGACATCTCCATTGATCCGCTCTAACACGTAGTCTTCATACAACTTCTGGCCAGTGACATCAGCATTCAAGATCTGTGGTACATACTCATCTGGTATGTAGGCAAGTGTGATTACATTGTACAGCTTGTCACCTTCAGTGGTAAAGGGGTTTCCATGACTGAGTATGGCTGCCTTGATCTTGTCGATTGTACCATGTGCCCTCTTGACTGCACTTGGCCCAAGCTCATGGTGCTCTGTGCTTCTGTCAGCTTCCATGTCAAATTGACTCTTGAACTCTTTCGACAGATGTGAAAGTTCTGGTGTGACCATGAAAAATCTCTGTCTGGCATTGGCATTGTTAGAGATGCCA